CCACGCTGGGGAACCCCACAGGTAGTCTGTCAGGATAAAAGGTGTCCATACCTGCATCTAAATAATCATTCTGCAAGTATGTGCTTGATGCTGAGGTTTGGATGCAAAGTGGTGTGGTGTTCCAACTACCACTTTGGCAAGCCTCCCATGCTGAGCCAGATCTCTCTTCAAGTTCTTCCGCAAGACAATAAACTTTGCTGCTTTTGAACTCTGACTGTCAAGCGGTGGAACGCGTACTTCAAGTGCCAGCCTGATTCAGATCCATGTTTTGAATCTGCAATTTTGAGTGGAGGAGCCAAAGCGAGACCCTGATCCTGGTCCCGGTGTAGCATCGAAACAGCCTCTGGGAGCCCTTCCTGCCAGTCAGCTCATTGAGATCCTGATGCAGAACAGCATCCTGATCTGGCCCCAAGGGCGGCTCTCCAGATGAATCCGAGTCCACGAAGGGGCCTGGAGTTTCAGTCAATCCCGAGGTGCACCCAACATCTGGGAAAAAGCAGAGGACCCCAGGTCGTCAGAGCCTACTGGGTCCGCTGGGGGTGTAAGCACATGGAATGATGCGGGTGGGAGATGGGAGGCATGCAAGACCAAGGCTCGATGGACCCCAGGTGTCGGAGGTTACCTGGTCCAGGGACCTGGGCCCACTCTAGAGGCTGACCGGCCTGGACCAGCAGATACAACGGTTGTCGCATGAGGAGGAGCCGCAGGGCCCAGAGGCACATGCGACACATGACAGGCAGAGACTTGGGGCACAGCCACCTAGGACAGTGGTGTGCCATTGTGGTGCCCTGAGCAGCCCAGCAATGCTTGCGCCTTTGGCAACCATTAGTCCTGTGTTGCCCTTTACTTGTAACACATCTGTTTACACAACCCTTATTAGGTGCTGGCCCAGATCAGCTCTGCGCCCCCAGGGTGAGCCTCTTCCCACAGGCCCAAGTTTCCCTGCCCCTCGCCTCTCATCACAGGGCAGGATTTTGGCTGCAGACTCAGGTGGCCCCAGGACTCCAGCTGCCCGTTGGGCTGGGGGTGGTGGTGATGGTGGCAGAGCATCCCAAGGAAGCCACAGGGTCTCAACTTGCCACAGTCAGAAGGCCTACTCCAGCTCTGGCAGCCTGAGCTCTTCCTCCTCCAAGCTGAAATCCCAGAGGTGTTCTTCCTCCTGGCCCTGCTGCTCTCAAGAAAAGCAACTGATCAGCAAAACAGAGCACCAGTTAGGGTGGCATGAGAACACACGTTACTGTTATTTATTCCAATACATTGCAATTTTCACTAAACTTTCAGCATCGTTGGCTCCATGATTGATCATTAATTCACCACTGTTAGGTAGGGGCAGCCAGGGAATCAGTGAAGGCACCAACATTTCCCCAGGAGGGGCTTTGAGGCTGGGCAATTAGATCTGCCACAGGCTTTGATCCAAGCAGCCAGCCCTTTACACCAGCCTGGGAGGGGACATAACTGTTGTTCCACCCTGCCTCAACACAACCATGACCCTAGAAGTGACAGCGCACTTTTCAGAGGTGGACCTTGTGTGCAGGCATGAAGAAGATGCTTAGAATGCTGAAAGAAGCATGGTAGATACATTTCTTGAAACGCTAGAACTGGAAGTCAGCTGCAGCCCTTTTCTAGTTTATAAGGACCGGTTTATTGCTTGCCACTACCACTAGCATGTGGACTCCGAGAAGATGCTTTGTCTTCTGTTCCCAGGGTCTGGAAAAGGCTCCTGCATAATCATGGGTTTAAAACAGAAGGGACTGGAAGACTTGCCTCACCAAGGGGTGGAGCCAGGGCAACAATCAAATTTCTGATATCAGTTCTGGCTGACTTCCTCTCACATTGCACAGAAAGATAGACTTGTTGTTTTGTTTTGTTTTTGAGTTGGAGTCTCACTCTGACCCAGGCTGGAATGCAGTGGCACAGTCTCAGCCATTGCAGCCTTGACCTGCTGGGCTCAGGCGATCCTTTCACTTCAGCCTTCATAGTGGTTGGAACTACAAGCGTGTGCCACCTTACTTGGTTTTTATTTACTTATTTGTTCCAGAGATGGGGTCTCGCCAAGTTGCCCAGGCTGGTCTTGATGCCCTGAGCTAGACTTAAGGTTTAATATTTTCCTGTTGGGTTTTATTTAAACTGGATTAAAATATTTATTTTATATGGAAAATACTTTTTCAGAACCCATTTTCTCTTTCCCTTCTTTAAGATAAAACACTTGGCAACTTTGAGGTGAGTTAAACCATTAAGCTGGGCTCAAGCAATCCTCCCACCTCAGCCTCCCAAAGTGCTGGGATTATAGGTGTGAGCCACCATGCCCGGCCACATTTCAGTTTTTAACATAATGATTTGTTTGATGTTCACTTACAATATGATTAAATAATATGGCATGGAGGGGGTCCAAACCTGGGATAGAGACTCCTGGGCTAATAGACACTTCATATTAGAAGAGAGACAAGTGTCTATTCCCTGGAACCAAAATCCCACCAGATACAATGAACACTTCAGAGAGACAGCATTTG